CCAGAGCCAGCGCCACCTGCGCCAGCACCTCCAGCTCCAGCACCCCCAGAGCTAGCGCCCCCAGACCGAGCACCGCTAGAAGCTGCACCTCCAGCTCCAACACCAACCGAGTCCACAGGAACCTGTCGCGGAAGCGCCGAAGGCTGCTGAGGGGGCTGTGAGGAGGACTGCGGGGAGGGAGACGCTACCTGACGCGCGACCGAGGGTAGAGGGGTAGCGTGAGACACACCAGACGGGGCAGGACCAGGGGGGGGCAGGGGTACCGGAGGAGCGGGAGCAGGAGGAGGAGAGGGTGCGAGGAAAAGAGGGGGAGGGGGTACCGGGAGACCTCGACAAGGGTACCGGGTGTAGTAGGACACGGACTCGTCAAACCGGACGTCACGGGAGTCTAGGAACTGGTGGAGGGGCGGGTGGTAGAAGGACCAGTCGGCCGAGTCTACCGGGAAACCAAGGAAGACACAGGGAATGGCGCGTGCCGAGAGCTTGTCCGCAGAGGTGTCGCGGACCTGCGCAAGGCAGCCCCAGACTCGAAAGGCCGACCCGACACCAGGGGAACCAGTCCAAAGACTGGTCGGTGAAGCCTCGGGCCGCGAGACACGCGGCTGGAGGTTCAGCTGGTGTGCGGCGTAGCGAACCGCGTGGGGCCACAGAAAATGGGGCGCACGGGCATGGATCATGGACGTGCGGGCGATGTCCATGACCAAGCCTATGCGGCGCTCAGCAACCCCATTCTGCTGTGGGGACTCTGGCAGAGTCCAGGACTGGGTGATGCCCTGTTCGCCGCAGAATCCGCCGAGAATGCCGGAGCGAAACTCGCCCCCACGGTCGGAGTGGAGACAACTGACTCGACGACCACGAGTGCCCTCAGTGGCTAGAAGCCACCTGATCAGCGTAGCAGTCACCTCGGACTTCTTCGCAAGAGGGAACACTGTGGTGTACCTGGAGAAGTCGTCGACGACCACCAGAAAGTAACGCTCCCTCCCAGACCCCTGCGTCGGGGCAGGGCCCCAGACGTCCAAGTGGAGAGTCTCGAAGGGAGCGGTGGCCGGACGAAGGGAGGAGGAGTGGGGAGTGGCGCGTAAGCGACCGGCGACGCACGGAGAGCAAGGAGGGGCAAGCGAGAGAGGGAGCGACGGGAAGGTGCGTGGGAGACCTGTGACTAGTCCGTGACTGAGCATGCCACGAAGGCGAGGGATCGACGGGTGGCCAAGACGGTGGTGCCACAGAACGGTGCGGTGGGCGAGAGAGCGACAGGAGCAAGACGCAGCGACTGGACTGGACACAGCGACCGGACTGGACACGACTACCTGGCTAGACACAGCCACTGGACTGGGGACCTGGGTCGGAGGGGACGCAACAACCGGAGGGGAGGACGCGACCGGGGAGCGCTCGGTGTGGAGAACGTAGAGACCGGAGCGGGGCTCCCTGGTGAACGTGGCCAGAACAGCACCTGTGGTAGCGTCAGTACAGACTGCAGTCCGCCCACCCCCCAAGAAGGTAACCGTGATCCCCCTGTCCTGAAGGTATCCAACACCCACCAAGTTCCGAGTGAACGAGGGGATGTGGAGGCCACGCAGGACACCAGAGGGGACCACAGGGCACGGGAGGGTGGTGGAGCTACGCGCAACGGCTGGTCCAGAGGTAGGATCAGCCAGAGCCACCGACACAGGTGTGAGGAGAGGCGTAAGGGTCGTGCGGTCGCGGAAGAAACACTGAGACGCGCCCGAGTCCAGCGTGAACGAAAGAGAGGCCTCAGCCGGTGGGTCACTCGACCCAGTCGCTACACAAGCACCTAGAGCAGCAACACAAGCACCTAATCTAGACAGGCACAAGGCTACACTAGCAGGAGGCAAGCAGTCTAACCTACGAACACGCGAGCACACAGATCCATCAGCACTAGAGTCAGCATCAACATACAAAGCATATTGACGCGCATCGTCCATGGACAAAGCAAATACATCAATCTTACGGGCTAACAGACGAGACCAGCGAGGCGTGCTCGCCAAAGGGCCCCAACGAGCCCGGTAGAGGTCGTCGAGGCGGCGGAAGCACCGCGCGGCAGAGTGGTCGTCGCGACCACAGAGACAGGGGCTACCCGGCCCGGTGACGCACCAGTGAGTGCACGGGCCAGCGTCACGGCGAGGGGGGCGAGGGGCCCAGCTGGAAGTACTGCTGCTGCGGCTGGTGCTCCCAGGGCCTCCCGGACCCCACTGCGGCGGGGGACCCCAGTGCTGCTGCGGACCCCACTGCAGCGGGGGCCCCCACTGCTGGAACTGCTGCGGTGCCTGCTGCTGCTGCTGTCCCTGCTGCTGCTGCTGTCCCTGCTGCGGGTGGTGCTGCTGTGGCTGCTGCTGCTGTGGGGGAACGCCCCCACCGGTCGGGCCTCCACCTGTGGGTGGGCCTGTCTGTCCAGCACCTCCTCCAGGGCCCCCTCCCCCTGGTGCACCACCGCCGCCGCCTCCGCCGCCTCCGCCACCACCGCCGCTCCCACCTCCACCGCCACCTCCACCGCCGCCTCCACCGCCCCCACCTCCCCCCTTTCCGCCCTTCTTGCCACTCTTGCCCCGTTTCTGCCAGTCTGCGGCAGAAACGGCAGCGGTGTCCTCAGAAACCGACACAGCAGCAGAAGCGCGGGTAGCAGTGAAAGTGGGAAGCTGAGGGGCGGCACACCCCGCAAAGAGACGGGGGGCCACCGCATCAGTGGCGGAGGCAACGGTGAGGAGGCTGCTCTCGATGGTCCCGAGAGCAGTCTGAAGGAGGTCTATAGTGAGCTCAGTGGGGTGCTTCTGAAGAAGCGCGTCGCGGGCAGTGGCAAGGCGGTCAGGGAGGCGGGTGACTAACCAGTGTACAGTGAGCCACATGGGGGGGGGAGCAACAAGGAGCTGTGCGTCGGTACAGGCAGCACGAAAACCGGCGTCAAGCGAGCGGAGGTGAGTCACTAGGTCGGAAACAGTGGCAAACGAGCCTAGGTCGGGAAACACAAACGGCATGAGGAGGCGACTGAGGGAGGCGGAGGAGGGGGTGGAGTAGCGGGCAACAATAGCATCCCACACCCCCTTGGCTGTCTCCACCTGGTCAAAGTGGGCGGCCTCAGTCGGGGGGAGAAGCTCCGACAGTGTGAGAGCGGCGGCAGCGTCACGCGAGAGCCACACGTCCCTGGCCAGGACCCGACGGTCGTACTCCGCCTGGGCCGTAGGGGTCGGCTCCGGGGTGGTCGGCAGGGCGGCGGGGGACGGGGGGGCCTGTAGGGCACCAGACGCGTGAGCCCACAGAGTGGCGCCGTCCTGTCGCTGGCTGGTGAGGAAGCGTGTGGTCTGGCGCTGCCAGGTACCGAACTCGATTGGGCGTCCCTCCGCATCGAAACGGAGGCGACGGGCCTCCATAGCGGAGCCCATGCTAGAGGCGGCTGGAGCACGGCGGAGGCGGAGCTAAGAACGAGGAGGAGGAGGACATAGACTAGGCGTGAAATCGTGGATCGCCAGCTACAGGTGCGAGGAGCGAGGTATGAGTGGCTAAAACGGCTCTAACCTAGGTGACCGGCGAGGGAGAGCGGCTGCCAGCCGCTGAGGGATAGTCCAGTGTCATCAGATTTGGGGAGGGCCTCGCGCACAAGGCGGCGGTGGGGCTAAGGTGATGAACAGTGAGAGAGGGGAGGGGAGGGCGGTTTTGACGGTGGGAATGGGCGGGAGGGCGGTTTTGACGGTGGGAATGGGCGGGGAGGGCGGTTTCGACGGTGGGAATGGGCGGGAGGGCGGTTTGGACGGTGGGAAAGGGCGGGTGGGCGGTTTTGACGGTGGGGATGGGCGGGGGCCAGGGCGTACGGGCTAGGCGCGGGCCTGGGCGACGGGCTACGCGCGGGCCTGGGCGACGGGCTAGGCGCGGGCCTGGGCGACGGGCTAGGCGCGGGCCTGGGCGACGGGCTACGCGCGGGCCTGGGCGACGGGCTACGCGCGGGCCTGGGCGACGGGCTAGGCGCGGGCCTGGGCGACGGGCTACGCGCGGGCCTGGGCGACGGTTGACGCGACGGGCAGGGGGAAGGGAGGCGACGCGACGGGCAGGGGGACGGGAGGTAACGCGACGGGGAGGGGAAGGGGAGGGCACGGAGGGGGGGTTACTAAGGGGCGCGACGTGGGGCGGGCTGAGGGCCGCGCTAAGGCGCGAGAGGGCGCTAGGAGCGCGGAGAGCGCGGAGGGCGCTAGGCGTGACGGAGGGCGCGGAGGGCGCTAGGCGCTACGGAGGGCGCTAGGCGCTACGGAGGGCGCGGAGGGCGCTAGGCGTGACGGAGGATCGATACCTACTCGTGATACCATCTCAAAGTCTACATGCAACGGAATGATTGGAATTAGGGTTTGCAAGCATACAAATAGGAGTCCTACAAATGTTGTACCCTTTAGGGAGTGCCTCACTGCAGCCTATCATAACATTAACATTTGACATAGGGAGTAGGCAAAACAAAGCAGCGGTGTGTGCAGTGATTGGAAGTCATCCCTGCAGGGGTGGATGAGAGGACAGGTAGGGAAGTGGGGGGGACCTAATGTGTTGATCCATCGATGGATTGCGAGCGCAAAAGGAAGGGTAGGGTATGGCAGGGTATGGCGCGGGATGGATGGGTATGGCAGGCGATGGATGGGTATGGCGCGGGATGGATGGGTATGGCTGGAGTATGGAATGGTATGGTACAAATCTGCTAAACAGGGAATTGTAGGGCAGGGTATGGCAAGGAGCGGCAAGGTATGGCAGGGGAGGGGTGAGTTTGGCTGGCCTATGTATGGGTATGGGAGGAGATAGAAGGGTTTTAGGGTACGGTGGAGGGTAGGGTGGGTGCAGATAGCCGACCGACTCACACTGCAGTGGATAGGTTTGGGTGTCTAATCCTTCGAACTGGTTGAACATCTTGTGCACTCCCTCTGCAGCACAAGCAACGGTGGAGTCGCGATTACTTCACAGACAAGAAACTGCACGGTGGGGGAAGGACAAGGTGAGACAAGTTGCGAGGAAGGTCAGTGGAGGGGGTATGAGTGCAAGGAACATTCTTGGAGGGAAGGGAGGGACGGGAGGGAAGGGAGAGAAGGGAGGGACGGGAGGGAAGGGAGGAAAGGAAGAGAAGGGAGGGACGGGAGGAAAGGGAGGGAAGGGAGGGCGGGAGGGAAGGGAGAGACGGGAGGGAAGGGAGGGAAGGGAGGGAAGGGAGGGACGGGAGGGAAGGGAGAGAAGGGAGGGACGGGAGGGACGGGAGGGAAGGGAGAGAAGGGAGGAAGGGAGGGACGGGAGGGAAGGGAGAGAAGGGAGAGAAGGGAGGGAAGGGAGAGAAGGGAGGGAAGGGAGAGAAGGGAGGTAAGTGAGAGAAGGGAGGGAAGGGAGAGAAGGGAGGGAAGGGAGAGACGGGAGGGAAGGGAGAGAAGGGAGGGACGGGAGGGACGGGAGGGAAGGGAGGGAAGGGTGGGACGGGAGGGAAGGGAGAGAAGGGAGGGACGGGAGGGAAGGGAGGAAAGGGAGAGAAGGGAGGGACGGGAGGGAAGGGAGGGAAGGGAGGGAGGGAGGGAAGGGAGAGAAGGGAGGGACGGGAGGGAGGGGAGAGAAGGAAGGGACGGGAGGGAAGGGAGAGACGGGAGGGAAGGGAGGGACGGGAGGGACGGGAGGCAAGGGAGGGAGGGGAGGGAAAGGGAGGGAAGGGAGAGAAGGGAGGGACGGGAGGGAAGGGAGGGAAGGGAGGAGAAGGGAGGGAAGGGAGGGACGGGAGGGAAGGGAGTGAAGGGAGGGACGGGAGGGAAGGAGAGAACGGAGGGAAGGGAGGGACGGGAGGGAAGGGAGAGAAGGGAGGGAAGGGAGGGACGGGAGGGAAGGGAGAGAAGGGAGGGACGGGAGGGAAGGGAGAGAAGGGAGGGAAGTGAGAGAAGGGAGGGAAGGGAGCTACGGGAGGGACGGGACGGAAGGGAGGGAAGGGAGGGACGGGAGAGAGGGAGGGACGGGAGGGAGGGGGAGGAAAGGGAGAGAAGGGAGGGACGGGAGGGAAGGGAGGGAAGGGAGGGCGGGAGGGAAGGGAGAGAAGGGAGGGACGGGAGGGAAGGGAGAGAAGGAAGGGACGGGAGGGAAGGGAGAGAAGGGAGAGAAAGGGAGGGAAGGGAGGGACGGGAGGGAAGGGAGAGAAGGGAGGGACGGGAGGGAAGGGAGAGAAGGGAGGGAAGGGAGGGACGGGAGGGAAGGGAGAGAAGGGAGGGAAGGGAGGGACGGGAGGGAAGGGAGAGAAGGGAGGGACGGGAGGGAAGGGAGAGAAGGGAGGGAAGGGAGAGAAGGGAGGGAAGGGAGAGAAGGGAGGGAAGGGAGAGACGGGAGGGAAGGGAGGGACGGGAGGGACGGGAGGGAAGGGAGGGAAGGGAGGGACGGGAGGGAAGGGAGGGAAGGGAGCGACGGGAGGGAAGGGAGAGAAGGGAGGGACGGGAGGGAAGGAGAGAAGGGAGGGACGGGAGGGAAGGGAGAGAAGGGAGGGAAGGGAGGGACGGGAGGGACGGGAGGGAAGGGAGGTACGGGAGGGACGGGAGGGACGAATAGTCGGCCGCCCGGAAAAGGGATCAGGGAGGCGGGACGGCATGTCTGGCGGCGGCGGAAAATGGGAATCGGGCGGCGGGAAGCGCAGCGGGCGGCGGGAAAGGGGAAGCGGGCCGCGGGAACGGGAATCGGACGGCGGGAACTGGAATTTGGCGGCGCGAAAGGAGAAGCGGGCGGCGCGAAAGGGGAATCGGGCGGCGGGAGCGGGATTAAGGCGGCGGGAATTGGAATTTGGCGGAGCGCAAGGGGAATCGAGCGGCGGGAAGGGGCGGTCGGGCGGCCCGCCCGGAATCCATGGGCGGGGAAAGGGGATTCAGGTGGCGTGGAAGGGGATTTCGGAGGCTGGATAGGGGAACCGGGCGGCGGGAATGTGGTTCGGGCGATGCGAAGGGGAGTAGGGCGACGGGAAAGGGAACCCGTCGGAAGGAAGAAGTGGTGGGAGCAGGGAGTCGAGCGGAGGGAAGGGGAATCGCCGGACAGCGTGACGGGGGTTTCGTGGCGGTGGAAATGGGAAACCGGGCGGGAGGGAGTTGCATCAGGCGACGCGAATGGGGAATCGGGCGTCGCACAAGGGGAATCGCGCCGCAGATAAGGGCTATGGCGAACCCTAAGCTCCGTGTATTTGGCGCCGGAAAATAATCAATGGCTCTGTAGGTGTTTGACCTACGCGTGAGGCGCGCTATAATGACATTGGATTGCAGTGTTTTTGGAATTTACCTATTTAGTGATGACTTAGAGCGCTCTGGGGGTGGGGATAGTGGTGAGGAGGCATGTCCTTCAGTATACTTTTGGCTAGCCATAAACTTTTGACGAGTGAGTCAGGTGAGAGGGGATGGTGTTGAACTTGTCGCTGTGTCCGAAGTCGAGAGACCCTGTAATTTGGTTACCACCTTGTACCTTTTATAAAGTTTTGGCCTTCCCACTGCCAAATGTATACCGCTGCTTTAAAGCTTTTGTATACATTTGAAAGAGGGAGGTTCAAAACTTTTGAGATTTGAAATATTGGTAACTCGATTACCTGCAAGTTCACTCGCTGAACAAGGGAGGGAGATCTCCCCGACACCCAGCACTTGCTGGTGATTCAAAACTTTTGGATCGACAAAAGTATACGAAATCGAGCCTTTGTGAGATCTACGCCACCACGCTCTTCAGCCGGCATGCTACGTAGCTAAGCACATCGACTCAACAGCCAGCGCAAATTCTGCAAATTTTCGTCACAAACCTAAATGCGTGGGGCATTTTCTTGTAATTATAGACTTCAACCAACGTCAGTGGTTCCCTTTCACGCGGCGATCCCGCGGTACCTCCTCTCACGGCCTCTCCTCGTCGTCCGTCGTGTCGTCTCAAACAGCCGAACACGCACTATCACAGTCGCGGCCCTATCGCGACTGCCTCGCTACCACGTTTCCGCACTAGCCCCAGCAGCCGCACTTGAGTGCGCGAACGACAGCAGAAACGGGAGCTTCCAACCCCGTGCAACCGCCTCGTCTTCCTTCTCGCCAGCTCAATTCGCATTCCCGCCTCCCCGTTTCTCCTTTCCAATCCCCAGGACCCCTTCCGGTCACCCCGTTTCCCCTTCCCGCTTCCCCAATTCCCCTTCCCGCTCTCCGTTTCCCCTTCCCGCCTCTCCGTTTCCCCTTCCCGCTCCCCGTTTCCCCTTCCCACCACCCCGTTTCCCCATCCCGCTCCCGTTACCCCTCCCCGCCTCTTCGATTCCCCTTCCCGCCTCCCCGTTTCCCCATCGCGCTCTCCGTTTCCCCTTCCCGCCTCTCCGTTTCCCCTTCCCGCCTCTCCGTTTCCCCTTCCCGCTCCCCGTTTCCCCTTCCCACCACCCCGTTTCCCCATCCCGCTCCCCGTTACCCCTCCCAGTTCCCCTTCCCGCCTCCCCGTTTCCCCATCGCGCTCCCCGTTACCCCTTCCCGCCTCCTCAATTCCCGTTCCCGCCTCCCCGTTTCCCTTCCCGCTCCCGATTTCCCCTTCCCGCCTCCCCGTTTCCCCGTCCCGTTCCCGTTTCCCTTCCCGCCTTCCCGGTTCCCCGTCCCGCTCCTCGTTTCCCCTTCCCGCCTCCCCGTCGACCCTTCTCGCTCCCCGTTTCCCCTCCCCGCTCCCCGTTTCCGCTTTCCACCTCCCCGTTACCCCTTCCCGCCTCCTCATTTCCCCTTCCCGCCTCCCCGTTTCCCCTTCCCGCCACCCCGTTTCCCCTTCCCGTCTTCCCATTACCCCTTCCCGCCTCCCCGATTTTGCTTCCTGCTCCCCATTTCCCCTTCCCTCCTCCCCGTTTCCCCTTCCCGCTCCCCGTTTCCCCTTCCCACCACTCCGTTTCCCCATCCCGATCCCCGTTACCCCTCCCCGCCTCCTCATTTCCCCTTCCGCCTCCCCGTTTCCCCTTCCCGCCTCCCCAATTCCCCTTTCTGCCACCCCGTTTCCCCTTCCCCGTCTCCCCGGTACCCCTTCCCGCCTCCCCGTTTCCCCTTCCCGCCTCCCCAATTCCCCTTTCCGCCACCCCGTTTCCCCTCCCCGTCTCCCCATTACCCCTCCCCCCTTCCTCCCTCTCATTTCCCCCCCTTCTCCTTTTTCTCCCCGCTTCTCCCTCTCATTCGCCCCCTTGCTCCCTCGCATGTCCCCCCTTTCCCCCTCTCGTTTCCCTCCCATTCACCTGCCCATTTGCCCCCCTTCTCCCTCTCATCTCCCCCCTTTCTCCTTCTGTTTCGCCCTTCTCACACTCTTCCCCCTCCCCACCTTGCTCACTATATTCCCCGCTACTCACTCTCTTTCCCCCTGCTCACTATCTTCCCACCAGCTCGCTCCCTTCCCCCCCCATCACTTTGTTTAGGGTTGCTCACTCTGTTTCACCCTTGCTCCCTCTGTTTCACCAGTGCTTCCCCCATCCCCTTCCCTGCTTCCCCCCATCCCCTTCCCTGCTTCCCCCCATCCCCTTCCCTGCTTCCCCCCATCCCCTTCCCTGCTTCCCCCCATCCCCTTCCCTGCTTCCCCCCATCCCCTTCCCTGCTTCCCCCCATCCCCTTCCGTGCTTCCCCCCATCCCCTTCCGTGCTTCCCCCCATCCCCTTCCGTGCTTTCCCCCATCCCCTTCCCTGCTTCCCCCCATCCCCATCCCTGTTTCCCCCCATCCCCTTCCCTGCTTCCCCCCATCCCCTTCCCTGCTTCCCCCCATCCCCTTCCCTGCTTCCCCCCATCCCCATCCCTGTTTCCCCCCATCCCCTTCCGTGCTTCCCCCCATCCAATTCCCTGCTTCCCCCATCCCCTTCTCTGTTTCCCCCCATCCCCTTCCCTGCTTCCCCCCATCCCCTTCCCTGCTTCCCCCCATCCCCTTCCCTGCTTCCCCCCATCCCCTTCCCTGCTTCCCCCCATCCCCTTCCCTGCTTCCCCCCATCCCCTTCCCTGCTTCCCCCCATCCCCATCCCTGTTTCCCCCCATCCCCTTCCCTGCTTCCCCCCATCCCCTTCCCTGCTTCCCCCCATCCCCTTCCCTGCTTCCCCCCATCCCCATCCCTGTTTCCCCCCATCCCCTTCCGTGCTTCCCCCCATCCAATTCCCTGCTTCCCCCCATCCCCTTCTCTGTTTCCCCCCATCCCCTTCCGTGCTTCCCCCCATCCCCTTCCGTGCTTCCCCCCATCCCCTTCCGTGCTTCCCCCATCCCCTTCCCTGCTTCCCCCCATCCCCTTCCCTGCTTCCCCCCATCCCCTTCCCTGCTTCCCCCCATCCCCATCCCTGCTTCCCCCCATCCCCATCCCTGTTTCCCCCCATCCCCTTCCGTGCTTTCCCCCATCCCCTTCCCTATTTCCCCCCATCCCCTTCCCTGCTTCCCCCCATCCCCTTCCGTGCTTCTCCCCATCCCCTTCCCCCCCCATCCCCTTCCCTGCTTCCCGCCTTCCCCTTCTCCCATCCCATTCCCTTGCTCCCTATGTTTCCCCTTGCTCACTCTGTTTTGCCCTTCTCACACCCTTCCCCCTCCTCTTTTTCCACCTTGCTCACTATATTCCCCGCTACTCACCCTCTTTCATTCTGCTCACTATCTTCCAACCAGCTCGCTCTCTTCCCCCCCACCACTTTGTTTAGGGTTGCTCATTCTGTTTCACCAGTGCTCCCTCCCCCCCTTCTCTTCTCACTCTCGTCCCCCTTGCTCACTCTCTTCACTTCTGCTCACTCTGTTTCCCACTGCTTCCTCTCTTCCCCCCCTCTCACCGTATCCCCCAATGCAGGGTACATGTGCCCAGCAGCAGATGTTGTGGCTTTACCACGGCCTGGTATATTGATCGCAGTGTAGCGGACAAAACCGGGAAGCAACATAACATTCCCCCCAGATTTGTTATTATATAAAAATGAGTAATTCCCCTTGTACCGTACAAATATCACTAGTATAATGGTTGTTGGACCCCTAAGTAGTGGTCATGTGTAGAACTGCTTTGAAGCACATAATGCTGTATCATAAAAAACTATCCAATACATGGCACGTCTATATGTCGTTTGGTATCAAACAGCCAACACATCACAACCACATCCAGAGAAGACCTGCGCGAACACAAACCAGGAAGTCAGATGTGACGTGGGTGAAGTAGCAGGGAAGTAAGCATCCGAAAGAATGACAGCTGAGAAATGATGGAGGAATGTAAAAATGAAGAAAGGAGGATCGGAGGAAGGATGGAAGCGAGGAATGCAATGGGGGAGGGAGGTAGTGATGATGGGGAGAAGGGAGGTAGGGAGGACATGGGGGAGAGAAGCAGAAGGGAGAGGAGGAAGAGAGGCTGGGGAGGAAAGTGGGGATGATAAAGGGTGGCAGGAAGGAATAAGGAAGGAGGAGGGGAGGACATGGAGGGAAGGGGCGCTGGGATGGAGGAAGGAAGGGACAGGAAGAGGACAGGAGGACGAGGGGATGTGAAGAAGAGGGGGCAGGGAGAGGAGGTGATGAGAAGAGGAGGGGATGGGGAGTGGAGGGATAGGAAGAAGATGGGAAAGGGAAAGAATGGATGGGGAGAGGAGTGGAAGGGTGAAAGGGGGGGATGGAGAGACGGGGTGGGAGGGAGGTCGCACAGAGAAGAGAAGCAAGCGAGGTGGAATTGGTTTTGTGGGAACGGGCTGAGAAGGGCCAGGAAAGAGGGCAAGTCTCACCTTCCCCACATAAAATCCCAAGAGGGCGAGTTTCTCCTGAGTGTACTGCATGCTCAGTTGAACCCTCAACGTCTCCACTGCTCCATGTCCCACCTGGTTTCCCTCTCCCTCCTCTCTTCTCTCTTCCCCTGCTCCTTCCACTCTCCCCTATCCTCCCCTGCTTCCTCCCCTTTCACATCTTCCCCATCTTTCCTTTTGCTCTACTCCTTTCCCTCCTGCTGCTTCCCGCTTCCCCACTCTCTCCTACCGCTTTTCTCCGTTGCCTCATGCAGGTTCGGGTCGTGTCCGTTGGCTTGGAGCCAGCCTCGGAAGTTCCAGCGGCGCAGCTGGATGTAATACAGTTTGAGTGAGAATGCAATCAGGTGTGGGATGCGGTGGAAGTTTGAACCAGAAAGACCTGTGCCGAGTGAGTGCAGATACACCCGTGCAAGGCCAATGAGAGTGGTGTGGGGGAGGGAAGGCAAGGTGCCTATCAGCGAGTCCAGATCCACATTGGGAAAGCAGCAAGCAGCAAGGCAGACCCAGCAGAAAGGGGTAGCAAGGGAGGGACGCACCAGGAAGGAGCAGGAGGGGTCGTTGGAATGGTAGTCATCGGCCAAAGCAGCATAGAAACACTTGCACAGACGCATAAAGAGCAAGGGGTGCAGCTCGGCGCAGCATGCAGCAGGCAAT